CGCGGCGCCTGGGGCCTCGGATCTACCGGTTCCGGCCGGGGCAGCTTGGGGCGCAGGTAGCCGTGCAGCGCGGAGAAGAGCTGGGCGCGGGCGGCTGGGCTGGCGTCGTGCGCGAAGGCCGCCAGGCGAAGCAGGCACTCGCGGAAGCCGGACAGGTAGCAGCTGGCGAGCGCCTCGGCGTCCTGGGCTGGGGACCGGGGAACCCCTGGAGCCGCAGCAGCGGGTGCGGCCAGCGGAAGGACCCGCAGGCAGGGCAGGGGTCCCAGCCAGGGTGAGGGAAGGGGCAGGGCGCAGAGATACCGAGGCCGGACAGGCGCACAGAGACAGGAAGCCAGGTGGACAGACAGAGGGAGAAAATGAGGGAGACAGACAGACACGCGTGGGTGTTATTATTAACCTCGCCTCGGAGCACAGCCTGCCATTCCCCAAGCCCACCGTCCACCGCAGGGTCTGCCCCCATCTACCCCCTGCCCGGGCCCTGGTGAATCCCCCCTCCCTCCCGCCGCTGCCCACCCCCGCGCTGTACCCGGGGGCTCCACCCGGCTTCGCTCCCTCAAGTAGCCCACGGCGAACTCCAGTATCTCTGCTTTCTCCAGCTTCGGGTTCCGGAGGTTCTACAGACGGGAGGGGAGGGCGCAGAGACAGAAAGGGGTGGGGAGAGAGGGGGAAAGTGGCAGGGGGAAGAAGGGAGGGGGAATGCAGGAGCTGGGGGTGCCCCCGGAACGCGTTTGTGTGCGGACCACAGAGTGCGCTACCGAATGAATGCGGAGTGGAGATGACCAAGAATAGTCCTGGCCCACCCTGAGACGAAACTGTCCAACCCAAGGGAATGAAGCCAACCCACAGTATGAGGAGGGGATTCGAACAGCAAACCTGGGAAATGAAATTAACCACCCTGCTGGCTGTCTTGGGGACTGTGGGGGAAAAGGAGAGGGAATTTACGGCCCCAAATTGACTGACCCTGGGAGGGAAATTTACAGAGCCGGGTATGAAACTTACAGACCCGAAGGGTGGCGATGAAGATCGCGTTCTGAGAACGAGATGGGGTCTGGGATGGGATTCCAAGGGTCAGGATGCCTTGGGGCCAGGGTCGCCAAAGCAGCATATGTCCCCACCCAAGTGGGAAGCCCTGAGACGCGAGGACGGGATGCTTGGGGGTCCAGTGATGGCGGAAGAACTGACCTGGTCCCGGGTCCGCTCCAGCAGCAGCAGCCTCAGCTCTTCCAGGCTGCGGTTGATGCGGTCCCGGCGCCGCTTCTCCACAAGCGGCTTCAGCATCTGCGACCAGCAAGAAAGGAAGAGCGGGCCGACCCCACCGAAACTCAGCACGGGGGCCGTCAGGATCCGGCCGCTGGGATAGTCCGGCCTCCTCCCCTTCCCTAAGATCCCAGAGAGTCTAGGGCCGGGCCCATTCGAACTCTGTCCACTCCCCCTCTAGGGTCAATTTCTGTTGCTCGCCTCCTCTCTCTCCTGGGTCTTCTGAATTCTGTCTGGTCCTTCCGTCTCCCCTCTCTATGTCTCTCCGTCTCCTCCTCTTTTCTCTCTACGTCTCCGACTCGTGCAGTCTTTCTCTGTCTCAGTGGAGAACTTTGGGGGCCCTCTTTGCGCCCAAACACGTGGGCCGCAAGATGCCGGGCAGAGTTGGCGGCCCTGAGTGTAGGAAGGGAGATACCCCGCGACCGCGCCTCCTCTTCTTCCTCTAACCCGTCTGTGCGGTCACCGTTCTCCGTTGGTTCTAAAATCTTCCACCAGTTCTCGGACCTTCTCTTATTTTGCCTTGGGCCAGCTCCGGCTCACAGCAGGCGTGGATCAAGTGCCTATCCTCTCCGCTTTTTTTTTTTCCCCAGCTGTCCTCCCTTAGCTCTGTGCTCCTCTTGCTTACTTTACTCAAACTCTGACCCCCTCCCATGCCCTCCAGGCTGCAGTGTGTCAACTGCCATTACCCATACCCGAGACCTCTGCGTCGGCCGCTCAGCCAGTTCCGGCTCTGACACTGACCCCTTCTCCATAGTTTGCAGCTTCCTCCCCAGTTCCTGGCTCCTCGGGTTCCCCATGAACCTTTCCTCTTTCCAGCCCAGCATCTCCAGCCACTTCCCTGACCCTCGGTCTCAGAGACACGGTCCTCTGACCGGCCCAGGGACCTCTGGTCCCTCCCCTCCCGCCTCTCACCTTGGGGCCATCCCTATTCTCTGCTCGATCCCGGGTGACCATCGCTCCTCCGGACCCTGATGTGGACCGAGTCCCTGCTTGCCTTGCGCCTTATATCTCGCAGACCCCAGAGTGGTGGTAGCGGGCAGGGGGTAGAACCCGGACCCGCCCCTTCGGCATCCGATCCCGCCCGCTCGACCCAGGGCACGAGGCGCCCGGAAAGGGGAGGAGCACAAGAAGGAGGGGAAGGAGTGGAACTGGCCTGGGAGTGTGGGAAATGAGGGGCCAGTGCAGCACCGGCTGGTTTAAGGACCATAAGGCTGTATAAAGAGGCGGGACCCAGCTGAGGGGAGAAGGTTATTAGTGGGAAAGGGAGTTTGAGTAGTTTGGGGACGGAACACGGGAGTGAAATTCAGAGTTTCCCCCATTCACTGTCTCAGTTTTCTTGGGAGGTCATTGTATCTCCACTAATCCTGAAATAAAAGTTAGCACCCCTAAGCCACCACGCTGGATCCTATACACCTTTCCCCAGAATTCACCTCCTACTTGGGATAGCATGCCACCTGAGTGTGCCAGCTGGATCCACCTAATTCAACTGGGACTTTGTCTGGAGGTGGGAGAGAAGCTTTTTTCGATCTGAGTCAGCCACATTCGATTCCCCCAACATCTACATGTCCATTGTGTGTACTGGGCACCGGTCTAGGCTGTGATTTTCATACTCAGATAAGCACTGGAGGCCTAACTTGTCCCTGCAGGATCTAGTGGGAAAGATGTGTTATCAACTAGCTATTTTAGAAGCACAGTGAAGTAGGTGCTGAGGGAAAGGGTCATCCTTAGAGATGGCTGGACTGAGGCGAAGGAAGCCTCAAGGAAGGGGAAGCAAGGCCTTGAAGTACAGATAGGAGGTGGAGAGATTTTTCCACCTAGAAGTATCTAATTCAAAACTAATTATTGGAGAGTCAGGCATATGGCTGCCAGGACACCTGAAACAAGTGTATTTGCATAGCTTGCTGCTGGGGACCCCTCCTGACTATAGGGGAGCAAAAAACAGGCAGTTTTCTTAAAGGGAACAAAAAAGGGGTCAACACCCACCTCAAACCAAAAGCCTGAGACTCTGAAGAATGATGCGTGAACACCTGGAGACATCAGGACAAAGTGCCTGAGAAGACAAAATCAGAGATTTAATGGGACAGCAAGAATGCCAGGGACAAGGACACAGAAAAACAGGGTTGCAGACCGAGCAAGAAGATAGCTGCGAAGTCACAGACGGATGGGGCTCCACCAAGCCCTCTCAGTGCCTGTCCAGAGCTTGCTTTTTTTTTTTTTTCAAGGAGCCTGCCTTGACAAAGTCCGAGCCAGAGAAACATAGACTTTGGGGAGGGCACGCCCATTTGGAATCAGTGAGCCTAGCATATCCCACCTCCCGTACCTGAGCCAAATGGGAGCACAGATGTGTGGCCGCAGAAGCCCCCATTGCCCCCCTCCTTGGGAACCTGGGCTCGGGTTGAGTTTTTCTCACCTGCACGCGAGGCTTGGGGCCCTGGGCAGTTCGCACCCGGGTGTGGGGCCGCCCCTGGCCATATGGGGCGACTTTATGGCCGGGTGACCGGATCCGGGCGGGAGGAAGGATGGCCTGGCGCTCCACCCACGTCTATTGGAGCCATTCCTTTGCGGAGTCCCTGGCCTGTAATATGTGCCTGGCTACGGGCCTCAATTCCCTCCATACTGAGGGAGAGCTAAGGAGGCATCTTTGCCGGTTGCATTGGTGGTTCAGTGGTAGAATTCTCGCCTGCCACGCGGGAGGCCCGGGTTCGATTCCCGGCCAATGCAATGCTAGTACTTGTTTTTCCTTTACCCAAAAATATCTTTTCTAATGTATCTGAGAAGCATCTTTGTTTATGATTTCTACCAAACATTAATATTAATACTTTTTTTTTTAACTCCATCGCAGACTTTTAGGCTCCGGATCGAAACCTGATTTCCGAACGTCCTCACACTCCCATCCTCCCAGCCTGTGGTTCCTCTGTCCACACCCCTCCTTCCGCCCCCTCTGCCCGCACCTCCGCAGGCGTGATCCTGAGAAAGGACCAGGAGCTCGGATCCCTACCCCGGGAGTCCTCTCAGCCCTCCGCGGGGGAGGGGCGCGGTCCTCCCGCCCCGCAAGCTCTAAGGCCCTTGCTCTTTTTTCCTTTCTCTTCCTCTCTCGCTCTCTCTTATTTCCTGTTTTCTGAAGCGCTCATTCTATATACACGGTCTTGGCCTTGTTTGTCTCGCCGTCTTTCTGCGTCTCCGCGTTCCTCTCGGCGTCTCTATCTCTGTTATCTTTCACGTTCTTTTCAGGACGTATAGCAACTTCAGCGCTGGGTCGCTGGGTCTTTGGTGGTCTCGGCATCTCAGGCTCCAGGTCTCTCCAGCCTCTGCGTCTCTCACCAGGTTTACGTCTTGGCCTCTGGGATCGTCTCTTCAGGTCTCTGTCGCCTCCCGGCCTTCTGCGCTCCCACGCTCGGGCCATCCCCTGGGAAGCTCGCTCACACCTCCAGATTCCTGCCACCTCTCCGCTCGCCCCTTCCAGGCTGCTTTGTCCCGCACGCGTCGTGCCGGCGG